AGATGGCAGTGGATTGTAAGAGAGAGCCTTTTAATACCCCCGACTATTTCCCTTTGCTATTAGCACTTATACTGACAGCAGTGAACACACAACTCTTTATCCCCATCTTACTGGAATGCCTGCTTCATCTCCTATTGTTTCTATCCCAGCTTCTCAACCCTAACTCTCAACTGGAGCATGTGCCTATTACAGAACCACTATCAATAGCGATCTGAGTCCCTATTAGCACTGACTAACCAGTAGAGAATAGGTATTCATTACCACTACAGAGACTGTGAGACATGTGATCCTTGTGTTCTAGAGTGGAACTCTGAAGGGATTTTCCCACAGAAACATTGTTATACATGGGGTTTGGGTTCTTTATGGTAGTATCATACATTCTGAATTATACAATATCAGAATTGGAAGGGACCTCAGAGAACATTTGGTACAACTTTTACCTGATCAAGAATCTTCTCTACAACATGCCCAACAAAGAGTCATCTACCTTTTGCATGAAAACCTCCAATAAAATGTATGCTCCTCAAAAGCAGGAACTGTTTCTATTTTCTCATTGTATCCTCAGCTCCCAAATAGTATCCGGCATAAAATGTTTGAATTGAAGTGAATTGAATTTAACCCATCACATCCCAAAGAAGTCTCACTTTTAACCAGCTCAAATTGTTAGAAAATTTCTGCTAACATCAAACATAAACCTTCCCCTTTTCAATATCTACCCTTTACCTTGGTTCTGCCCTCTGAGACCAAGTAAGACACGTCTAATTGTTAGGATTTTTTCCCTACATAGATAGGTTAAACATCTATAGTTCCTTCAAACAATGCCCATGTGATCTAGACACTTCATCACCTTAGCCTCCCTCCTCTTGACAGTATACGGTTCGTCAATGTCTTTCCTAAAATATGGCATCCAGAATAATATTGCGGGTTTAGGGAAAAGAGGGGTCTTTCAGCAATTCCTATTCTTTTGGGGGATCTCTGCTGATAAAAACTGTCTTTTGTTTAAATTACACAACTGAAAAGAAACGCTTCAGTGAATTCACCTTTTGTAATAACCAAGATTTCTGTTACCTGTTTCATTTTGTGGTCCCTTTCTCAACTGCCTCCCTTTTATAGCTTGAAATATCATACTATACTTATTCTTGGATTGCAATGACCTTCTTCTATGTATGCCTTGTTTCTTCTGACATCTTGTGTCTATGACCTTGGCTATAAAGTTCCTTTGATATGCACTGGACATTGATAACAAAACCCCACTTACGCATGTATTTACTAATACTGGGAAGTCAAAGAGACTTCCATTTGCATGATCTCTATTAACCTGATTGTGCATATATATCCTATATAAGATTCCTTACCATCAAAGGGAGAAGGGAGGAGGAAGGAATGAGAAAATTTAGAACTCAAATTTTTTTTAAAATTAATGTTTAAATTTGTTTTTACATGTAATTGGAAAATATAAAATACTCTTTTAAAAAAAGAAAAAAAAAAGATCTACGTTAACCATTTCAATACAAAGTGCCCAGAAACAATTCCACTTCTTTGTTCTTCTAATTTGTGAAAAGTTAGACACTTCTCCCTTTTCTTAATCATTGTCTCTCGACTCTTCATCTTAGAGTTGCTGCAGTCCCTTTAAGGCAGAACTTTGAGCTAATTTGTCAATTCTTTAGCAACTGGACCAAGTAAGTTACTGGTGTTTTTCAACAGACTAGCGGATTTCAATAATTCTTCTAAGGTCAGATAATTCTCCCATTACCATTTTTTCAAATTCACTACAACACTTTGTTTTCTGCTAATATAAAACATAAACCTTCCTCTTTTCAATATCTACCCTTGCCCTCGTTCTACCCTCTGACACCAAGGAAAACAAGTCTAATTGTCAGGAATTTCCCCCTATAGTTTGGCTGACTTAAGTGATTATGGAGAAAACAAGTGTCTTGTTGTGGGTTGTTTTTTTTTTTTTAATTTCTCTTCAAGCATTTTGTTTCTTGGTCACTTGTATAGATTTGTACATTTAGAGCTATTTTTATTTATCACTTTACTACTTTTCTGATTTTGTTCTCCTTTGGCCTAGGGTTCTGGTTTCAGAAATCAACCAGGACCATAATGTCACTTCTTCTGAACATAGTTATATCTAAGTGATGAAAACTTAAGGAATCCAAAATATTTATACATACATAGCCTGAATATTGACTTTAAAAAATGCTGTGATTACCTTGTCATTGACACAGCAGAATATGGAAAATACACTTTGTCACCAGCTAAGATTTCTTAGCAGTAATTTATTTCTTTGGTTTACATTACATCATAGTTTTATTTATGAGTTATTCCTTTGCCATGTGTGTTTTTGCTGTTTATGAGCTCTAGTTTCCAAAGGCCATGTGACTTATGTCTGTCAAACAGGCTTTCACTTACCTGTGCTAAAAAACAAAACAAAACAAAACCAAAAAAAACTATAAAAAGTATATACAGTCAAAAAGTAACTCACCTCCGGAATACCAGAGCCACAGGCATATGGTGCAAAGACCCTGACTAGGGAAACAGCCAAAAACGCAAAAGATAGAGCCCACAGTATGTACAGAAAGTAGTTCAAAATGTACGCACTGGCACCCTAAGCAAATGAAAACAAAGTAAGAAACACATCAGACACTGTAAAGTCTAAAGCAATATACCCAATTATTTAATAAGATCAAAGGCATCGAGAACCTGGCCAGGTTCTGTTAATGTTACATGCAGGTGTTCTTAACCTATTTTATCTCATGGACTTCCCTGGCAATTTGGTGAAGCCTGCAATGGACCCCTCCTCAAAAAAAAAAAAGTTTTCAAATAACTGAAGGAAATGCTGAATTTCAGTTAAAAGCTAGTAAAAATAAGGATTTTTTTCCCATCCAAGTTGACAGACTCCCTAAAATCTGTGGCCTGTAGATGCAAGGTTTAGAACTTTTATTCTATATTTATTCACTCTTTTTTCTATATTTATTTTTATTTTATCTATATTTATTTATGTTATTTTTTTCTATATTTATTTACTCTTAATTCTACAGAAAAAAAACTGACTGGTGTTAGTTTTATCCGTTATTGCTATAGGTACAGAATATGTGAATATATTGCAAGGTTTCTCCATGTGCTATTTATAGTGGCCTGCTGCTATGCAGGATATCTGGTCACGGAAAGAGTAAATTATACTGTTTGCTCTAATCATAACTTTCACAAATGTTTGTGGAAGGAATAAGCCAGAAAAATTCTGCCTTCCAGTTCGCAGCAGATTTGTTTTGTCTACTATAAAATAGATCGTTTCTTTCAGCATTCATCAAGGCCACGTCTACACAACAGTAGGCAACCATTTTGGAAAAGAGGACACCAATGAATAAAAGCAGGGCTGACAGTGTTTTAAGAACTGAATTAGATCACCAGTTCATTCAACCATTTATTTCAAACAATGTGTTCAAATCTATAGAGAGGAAAGTTTATGAGTACAATATTCATTTTGTTGTCATGGAAACAGCACAAAAGAGCCTGTGGTCAGGGATTGCTTTTATGTGACACTCCCTTGCCCCCAACCCTTCATTTTCCTGATTCTCTGGTTAGCTGGTCTGAGGGATGAAAATGGAGTGAGATCACACAAAAGTTCTATAGCTGACATGGTTACATGTGTACATGTTAACATACAAAGAAGATCTATTAGACTGTTCTATCAATACAAATACACATAGTCAGACATACAAACACTCTTGCTGAGTAATCAGGTTGAAAATATATCTTTCACTCACTTAAAAATGTTCTTTTTGCAGAAAAAAAAATCTGCCTCACTATTACTAAGATTCATCCACTATATTTGTAGCATAATCTTTAAAGAGAGTCAAAAAGGTGATCAGAGAGCATTCCCAAAATACATGCGTTTCTCTCACCAACCCAAATCAAGAATTTATTTTTAGACTTAGAGAGGCCATGGTAGACGTGTGAGATTTCATGAGCTGGTCTATTTAATGGACTTGAAGAAATCAATACAGAAAACCACAGGGGAAAGGGTTTAGCAAAATGACAAATTACCTTCCAAATGGCTTCAAATATGGCAAGTCAATCAGGCATAAGAAAGAAAAAGTCTGCATAGATTAACTACCCCTCCAAAAACAGTTACATTTTAAGCATTCTTCAAATTACTTCTAATGTGGTTGCTGAAAACCAACTATAGTCCTTCTATGGGCTCCTGTTCTCTCAAGGACACAATATACATATATATATGGATGTGTGTATGTGTGTATATGTATGTATATATTAATTTATATATAGATATGCGAGTGAGAGAACATATATGTCTATACATATATACACATATAGGTAGATATTTCTCTTTAATATAATATATAAAACTTCATATCTATAACTTTAAGCATGTGTATACTGTGCATGTATATATACACATACAGATATGCACTATACATATGATTTTAAAATAAACATATATGTATAATTTCATATATATGTGAGTATATATGTGACAGTGTATAAATTGTGAGTTGGGTTAAAAATCAACTCTTATAATGCACTGACAACATATATATTTTTGTACTTGCCTTTGATAAAGGCTTTGTGAAGCCTCCTAACTAAAGTTTCAATTCTCTAATTTTGTTATTTTCACAGAACTCATCAATTAATTTTCCTGTCATTGTTTATTCACAAATCACTCCTCTACTATAAGCATAAAAAATAAGGGACTCATAAAATTATCATTATGTCATGTTCCAGGTTAGGATCATTTATGGCAACAACGGTTCTTCAACATAATTAAATAAATGCTCCATGATAAGAAAATCAAGGATAAAAATGTATACGTTTAATTTTTTTTGGACCAGACCTGTAATCTCAATGGTATATAAAACACCCAATGAAAAAAAGTCCATATACATATAAATATACATATGCATAAAAGTCCATAGAAATATATACATATATCTAATGCATGTGCACATACACATTGTGCACATGTACACAATGCATGCTATATATATATATGTACACATGTATATGTTCTGTGGGAATTATCTATACAGAGTACTGCATATCTACTGGTACACATACACTACATACTTGTGTGTATATGTTTATACATATACATGTACATACATTTCTATGTTTATAAACATGTATTCATATATTTGGATTACATAGATTTATATAAGAATCTTCTAGTAAGTTCTACTCCATGGCTTCATCTTAGCACAGATGTGACCCTTTTGAAGATGATATGAGCAGGAGGCCCACTCCAGCAAGTCCTATCAAATTGGGAAGGCAATATGGGCCTGGGGAGTGACTGACTGTCCATCATTCAAGAACCAGTTTAGCTAAAGCTGGAGACTGGCCACAAGGTAATGGTTTTGTTTTAGCCACAGCAGCTTACAAAGATGGTTTACTAAAGACTAAAAGGGTTGCTAAGAGGGTAGAAAGAATACCTTCACCAATGAAATCAGGAGTGTTTATGAAGCTAGAAATAGATATAGTGACAAAGATGTAGAGAGAGAGAGATACATCTTAAGTATTAGAGATACATATACATATGTGCGTGTATATATTAAACATGTAGATATGATTACATCTCCATACACATGCCCACATACATACGGCATTCCTGAAAGGATTTCCAACTAAAATCTGGCTTTTATCATCAAAGACATGCACATGAAAAGGAAAAAAAAAACAACACGTAGTCTGAGTATTAAACAAGGAAGGTCATGGACTAATCTGGAAACCAACACATGAAGGTGCTTTATCTCAATCTAAAGAAGAAAAAAAAAAATCACAAGAACGGTTCTAAATGGGTCTTCTGTTTTTTAACCAGAAATCTCACTCAGGCACGTACCTCTGATTGATTTACCAGAAGCTCGGACCATTTCTGCCACAACGGACACTTGTCCCTGTCCTCAAAAGTGGTCTCATTGGATGTCCAGCAGCACTGTTCATGGCTGTACCAAAACGCAGACAGGCAAACGCCTTCTTTTAGATCAGTCATCCAGTCCACTGCTAAATCTATGACTCCTGCCAAAGTGCCTAAAGGAAGGAAACCATTGTGTTCATAAGGAATAGACTGAAGTCAAGAAAAATGAGTCTCTAGCATCACTGAACAGGAAAGTAAGAACTGGGTGTCAGCTTGGACTACAACAATCTGAGCATTAGTGGGGAATCAGGAAAGGAACAAAGGTCCTTTGGTGCACTTCTCAGCAAGTAAGACATTCCACTTTGAGATATGTGTAAAGTGCTTTCTAAACCTTAAGTTGATATGTAAATGTCACATATCAATCAATAAAAAACAAAACCATTGATTAAGCACCTACTATGTGCCAGACAAGAGCTGTGAATACAGAAAGAGGCAAAAGATAGCCCCTGCCCCCAAGGAGCTCACAGTCTTAAAGGGGATGTAGATGTAAACAATATGTACAAAATGCAATACAATATGCAAACAACTATGTACCATAAAGTTCTATCAAGGATAATTTGGAGATAATCAATAGAAGAAGCACCAGCATTCAGGGGTTTGGAGAAGGGCTTCCTGTAGAAGCCTTTGTGGAAGGTGGGATTTTAGCTGGAATTTGAAGGAAGCTAATTTTGCCAATTTAATTCAATTACTCAGATGCTCTTTCCCTAATGCATTACCTCAGAAGACAACATATCCCAGGCTCCACACAGGCATCATCATGCTAATGAGGCTTTTTTGTTTTCATTGTACTAAATGCAAAAATGGGTTTCTGGTCACGTTTTCAACATTTGGTACCCTAAGCCAAAATTTCATTGAAATTCCTTCCATCCTCTGCTGGGAAAAGTACATCAGCTTTCTTTTTGTGGCACAACAGTGACACCTAGCGGTTAGTCTCCCCATAGCTTGCCTGAGGATCATGAGGAAACCCTAAAGAATACCATTCAAAAGTAGGCTTGAATATAAATAGTATTTGATCCATCAACAAGTTATGTGCCAGGGTACTGTGCCAGACACTACAGATATAAAGACAAAAAAATCCAGAGCTTACATTCCATCAATCAACTCCAAATCTAGGGTCACTGAGCTCCCACAAGGAAGGCTAATTGAGGAAAGGACCACATGGTGCTGGTGGATTATCCTTCTGGATCTACTTCCAAACCTGTTCAACTATCCAAGAAGAGGTATAGGACAAAAATCACTGTATTTCACTTTGCACTGAATCCAACTGGATGAAACACTTCCATCACCTTTATTTTCCAATTCATAGCTATCCCTTGTTTTTCCAGACCTTCTCCATTTTAAAAAATGTAAAACATTAATGTAATATTTGAGCCATCTTCAACAGGTGCTATCATAGCTCTGACAAGAAGATAGATACAAATCCCTTCATATCAAAGAATTGGTGCATAGAGTGTGCCAAGTAACAAAATACTGGATAATAAGGAAATAGTCCTCAGACTCAGAGCTATGTGGGTGTACCTCCTGGAATACCATGGTTTCAAAGGAATTAAAATTAAGGTTCACCCAAAAGGTAATGAAGAGGATGGTATGAGTAGACTGCAATATTTGCAAAGACTTATTCATGAGCGACAGCAAAAAGGATGTCATCATATATATTAGAGAAGAAGAAGAGGAAGAGGAAGAGGAAGAGGAAGAGGAAGAAGAGGAGGAAGAAGAAGAAGAAGAAGAAGAAGAAGAAGAAGAAGAAAAAGAAGAACTCTAAGCCTCTTGAGTGCAGGGACTGTCTTTTGTCTTTCTTTGTATCCCCAGTGCTCAGCACAGTGCCTGGCACATAATAGGTGCTTAATAAATACTAGTAGACTATAGGGAGAAAGAAGGATAACCAACAGTTTATGTCTTGCACCAGTATCTATGCAACCTCCAGAAAACTGAAGGAAGGCCCCTAGCAACTGGGTGGCCACTCAGTGGAGAATTTACAGGAACAAAGAGGAACAGGATTGGCAGGTATATAGATAAATTGCAGTCAGAGTTACTTGAGAGAGTACTCCCATTTCTTTCTCTTTGTACAGGCTGCTCCCCTTGCTTTAAGGCATTTCCCTTCTCAACTGAACCTTTTGGAAACCCTTCAAAGCCTAGCTCAAATGCCATCTCCTACAAAACAGCTTTTTCTGACTCTCCCACACCCCACAGTCACTCTATTTTACACACTACTCATTTTAAACATACTATTTTTCCCCCAGTAGCCTGTAAGGTCCTTGAAAGCTGAAGCTGTTTTATGTTTGTCTTTCTGGTCCCAATGTCTAACATAATATACATTATCTAGCAAAAGCACATAGTAAAGTTTCCACAGGGTCCAGCATAAACGCATAGCGAGTGTTTGATAAGTGCTTATTGAATGAAATCATACTTGTAGTTGCAAAGTAATTCAGAAGTCCATCTGGTCAGGTTATATTCTGAGAGAATCTAAAGTCAGTTTTCTTAATTTCCCAAATTATTCCTCTCTCTCCTGGGCCAAGAAACATATTCTGATATATTCTATAAATCTATTCTTTTTGGGGGGGGGTGAGGCAATTGGGGTTAAATGACTTCCCCAGAGTCACACAGCTAGTAAGTGTTATGTGTCTGAGGTCCAATGAACTCGGGTCCTCCTGATCTCCAGGGCTGGTGTTCTATCCACCACACCACCTAGCTGCCCCATAAATCTATTCTTTAACAAGAACATATATGTGCATATAGACACGTTTGTGTATGTCTATATATGTAAACACACATAGATACATAAAAGCCCACATACATTCATTCCTGTTCTACAGTCCAACTCAAATTTCTTACATGTTTCTTAACAGACGCACGTTAACGAGGTTAGTTAACAAAGTTTTAAATTTCACATAGCTAACTTGTTTTTTCCATTGACTCTCATTTTGTAGTTGAGGTCCCATCTCAGCAACAGGGGTAGGAGAAGGAGGTTAAAATGAAAGTACAACTGGTACTATAAAGGGTGATCGAGGAGGCAGTGCCATCAGGAGGGGGCCAGGTGTCAGTGAGTGCCAGAAGACGGAAAGAGTGAAATGAAAGCAAGTTTGTTAACTATCAAGAAGGAATTCCAGAGAACATGGTGGAGTGGGATGTTTTGGGGGGGGGTGGTAAAGGTAGAGTACTAGAGTGGAGAGTAAGAGAGTAGCAATAAGCAATAGGAATTTGTCATTTACACAACGACAGGTAGGGGTTGAGAATCACCTGCAGGGAAGAGTAAGAGTATATAAATGGTAGAACAGCTGCTTATCTAAATTGGTGAGGGTGTTTCCTTAATGGGATCTCCCATTAAGAAGAAAAAACCTCTGAAACCTCAAAAAAAAAAAAAAAAAAAAAAGTACATAGACAGCCAACAGGCTATTAATGGTTTGATAAGAAGGCAGATACTGAATTATAATATCAAAGAATTGGTTCACAGAATGTGTCAATTATAAAATCTTGGATCACAGAGTAATAATCTATAGACCCACAGAATTTGAACCTAGGCTGTTTGGTGACTTCTCACAGTTCCAACTCGGAAGGATGGCTAAGTAACTCTGTGAATGTTCAGAGACTCAGGGTGTTTATGTTTCCCTCATAGGCCCATTATGATCAGTAAAAGCCAATCCTAAAAGGCATTATATTATTTTATCCATGATATTTCTCATATGATATTGGTTGTACCACACAAGCAGGATGAGAGGTGAAAAACATACACCTAAATAATGACAATACTGTGGAAAGCTACGCAATAGCAAAAAAGCCTGACTGATATTCCAGTTATACAAGACCCTCTCTAAAACCCTGTGATTTTATACTGTATTTACACTGTGAATCTGAATTACAAATGAGCCATTTAATTCATTCATTTTGTTATTTAAGTAATTAAACTCTCTTGGACAGAATCAAATACATTCCCCCTTTCCTATGGTAAATTCCAGTCTATGATATGTGTTTGAAAGCAAGAGTTTTTAAACCACCATGAACACACCTGCCAACAGGCCAATGAGGAGCATCACGACCCATCCTGACCAAGCATCCAACAAGCTTTTGATGAACTCCCATATGGATTCTTTGCTTTTGCTCGTTATCTGAAAACAAGCAGAAATTGTATGACATTTTGTTAGTAGTTGCTTTGGGCAGACCTTGCAATGCTATTTTACTTTATTAATTTTTTTTTATTTCATAAACAAAGTGAGTGAAGTGTGCTAGGGTTAGGGACTAACCCTGTGATTTCACTAATTTAAAGAACTCCTTGGTGAGAAAATTTCCGTTGCCAGTGCAAGTTGGCATCTTCTCTTCAATTTATGGTCTTAGAGCACTCCCTAGAGCAGAGGTGTCAAATACGCAACCCAGAGACCGCAGGTGGATCAAAGCACCCCGAGTGTGTCCTAAACCAGATTAAAATGTAGTTCCTTTTTTATTTTAATGTGCTGATATACTGATAAAAATGATAATAAAGAATATAATATATAATTATAATAATTTATAATTATAATACAATAAATATTAATAAAATAAAAGACATAATAATAAACATTAATTTTAAAGAAAAAATAAGTCTATAAATGTGTGTGGTTTTCTAAGTCAAAACACCTATTCTAAGTCAATGGCCTGTAGGGATCCTTATGTATGGTTTAGTGTCCCCTCCCCCATTTCTATTTGAGTTTAACACCACTGCCCTAGAGCACTGAAAGGTTAAACTTGCCCAGGGTCACACAGTCAATATATGTCAAAGGTAAGACTTAAACCCTGGTCTTCTTGGCTTCAAGGATGGCTCTCTATCCATTATGCTTTACACCCTACTTCCAAAGATCCAATTATAGTAAACCATTATCCGCTATGTTCAGGGAATGGAATTTTCTGTTTAATCATATCTTTTAGTTAGTAGAATTATTAGAGACATCATGGTACAGAGGAAAGAACTCTGGACTTGAGGTTAATAAAGCTAATACATGCATGTGTTTGTGTTTGTTATTCCCAGTCCCTATAACCATCCACCTTTTTGTTTGTTTGTTTTTTGTGAGACAATCAGGGTTAAGTGACTTACCCAGGGTCACACAGCTAGTAAGTGTCAAGTGTCTGAGGTCGCATTTGAACTCAAGTCCTTCTGACTGGAAGGCCCGAAGCTCGATCCACAGGCCACCCAGCTGCCTCAAACATTTCTTCTTTTTCTTCTTCTTTTGTTTTTGGTTAGGCAATGGGGTTAAGTTACTTGCCCAGGGTTACACAGCTAGTGTCAAGCGTCTGAAGTCATATTTGAACTCAGGTCCTCCTGACTCCAAGGCTGGTGCTCTATCCACTGTGCTGTTCCCCCCCCCCAGCTGCCCCCCCACTCACCCACCTTCTTACCAACTGCCCTACAGCTGCTCCCACCAGACCACTGACTCTCTTGAGTTTATACCCTGGGTGACAATCCACTTACTTTAACAATAGGGTTATACTGTCCTGATTGCTAAGTCAACCAATGCAACGCCACATGGCCCATTACAGACAATGCTTGACATTCAGTCTAACTATACACCTTGTTGCCATCCTGCTACAGAGTCCTGACCCCTCCCTTTCTACTTCTTTGTCTAGGAATAGTAAACAAATCAATACTACCACTGCTTCTGCAAAGACTGTGTCAATCTCCTAGAGTTCCATTCGGTCTCCCCATAACTTCCCAAATTAAAAGATCATTCCTTGGCCATTACATTCGTATTGAGAATGTCCCAAAAATCTTAGTGCAGCTATAAGCTTTAATAAATCAAATAAAGTAGCAACCAAAGATGTTAAGCAAACATAGGAGTAAAAATAAAAAAAAATACTTTGTTTTCATTTCTACAAATATAGTATGCAACCTCCTATTATTGTATGGTGGTAAGGGAAATCTCTTATGGACTAAATATATGGAGTTTTAAATCCAGACAAGAGTCAGTGAAACCTTAAAGGATGGCATTTATTAGAAAAATACATGGAAAGTTTTATATTTTAAAATTTCATTAAGATTTTTTAGACTTTATATAGATTCTCCTCTTATTAGAATATAAGCTACTAGAAGACAGCGACTATATTACTCTTGTATTTGTATCCCCAGGGATTAGGTGGTTGGCAAATAATTGGGGCATAATAAATGTTTTTCATTCATTCATTCATTCATTCATTCACTTATTCACTTACATACCTTCCTGTGTCTATCTGTGTCACGTGACTTTTCCCTTAACCAGTCAATGGTATGGAAGTCCTCATAGGTCCCAACATCAGGAAAAGGCTCATCGAGGAAATCCATCAGATTACCAGACCCATTCATCTCTCCTGCATTAACCATATTAATAACACCTGGAAGAGAACAAGGATAGTTTCAAGTTTAAACTTTATTTCCAGTCAGCCTGACTTCCCAGAAGAATAATACCAACCTACCACTTCTCCCCTCAAAGAAAGAAGGGTCACAGCGCAGTTCCCAGTTTCCCCATCATCACGTCTACAGTTAGAAGAAAAACTAATAACCCAGCACCAAGTCAATGAGTTTTCATAAACATTGGACACAAAAGAACATGGCAAAGAGTGAATTAAATTAGAATTACAGAAGATGAACCACAGAAGTGCTTTGGTAGACAATTAAAGAGCTGAAATGTGGTCACAGAAATATTGACTGTGGATTTTCTTGGTGCCTTTAAGTATTTCTGCATCAGGAAGAGCAAACCACTGGCAGATTAAACTGCATTTTAATCAAATTGAAAAGTAACTATGGTCAACATGGGGCTAGTCACCTTACAAGTCATAAAGTGGTTATACTGATTGATTTATTGACCTACAATGTAATGCAGCCACTTTAAAACTTTAAGAGGCCTTTTACAGTTTGAAGTTTGAACCAAGTGCCAAGCCAAAAATCATACCCATTTGTGGGCCCTGGGGGAAGTATCCTATAGCACAAGACGGTAGCAACCAATGATATTAGAGAAACAAAGGAGTAAAATAAGAAAGCGGGTAATTTGTTTTCATTTCTACAAACATACTATGTGATCTCCTATTATTATATGGTGGTAACGGAAATCTCTGATGAACTAAATATGCAGAGTTTTAAATCCAGACAAGAGTCAGTGAACCTACAAAAGATGGCATTTAGTAGAAAAATACAGCAGTATATGGAAAAAGCATAAAGGATGGTAAAGAATTAAAGTTTAGAGCAAAAAAAAAAATTGTTTGTGTTACTAAGATTTAACCAGTGTGTAGCCAATTGGCTACTCTTTATAACCAGAACTAAGAGAAAAGACTTTCTATGAAGCATAGTTCATGACTTTAATCTCTATTATAAGGTTTTTTTTAACTGTATAGTTGCTATGGTATACTACACAAATTGCTGTTGCTATGGTATACTACACAAATAAGTCCTAAATATGCAATTGATGGAAGAAAAGGGAAAAAAAAAGATCTGATGCAAGTATCCTTGATAAGTGTTAATGGTCCTTGAGAAGGCCAAGGATTCCATTTTGGCAGTGTGTGAAATGATGACAGGAGAGAGACAGTACTGACACGGGTATACCTGTGAGAACGACAGAAAGCTGGTCTCGACCAGGGCTTCCTCACCTGAGGTCCATGAACTAGAATCAGGGGTGGGGAATCTGCAGCCTCGAGGCCACATGTGGCCTAAGGTCCTTGGGTGAGGCCTTCTGACTTCAGTTCAAGTTTTACAGAACAAATCCTTTTATTAAGGGGATTTGTCTATGAAGTTTGGATTCAATTAAAGGGCTGCACTTCAGGACCTAGAGGGTCATATGTGGCCTCAAGGACACAGGTTTCCCACCCTTGAACTAGATGGTGCAGTGGATGGAGTGTCGAGCCTGGAGTCAAGAAAACCTAAGTTCAAATCCAAAATCATACACTTATTAGCTGTGTGGCCCTGGGCAAGTCACTTGACCTCTGCCTGCCTCTGTTTCTTTGTAAAATGGGGAGAATAATAGCACCTACCTCCCAGGATTGTCGTGAGAATCAAAATGAGAAATTAATTTTGAGAGCACTTAGGACAGTGCCTGGCACACAGTAGGTGCTATATGTTATCTATCATCATAGCCATTATTATAAACCTTTTAAATATTTTGATAACTATATAGCAATATAATTGGTTGCCTTTGTAACCCTATGTATTTTATTTTATACATTATTTCAAAAAGGGATCCATAGGCTGCAGAAGCCTACTAAGAGATTCATCACACACAAAAAAAGGCTAATAACTTCTAGACTTGAAGACTGAGAAAGGGAAAACTTTAGGAGAAACAAAAAAGATATGCATTAGACTCAGCATTCAGAACAAAACCAAAGGAAAGCAGAAAACAAAACTAAAGACCATTAGGATCCTTTCTTGGATATTGGGCATGAGGAAAGAGGTGAATAATAGGAAAATGAACAACTCTATCTATACCACACTGGAATTAATAATAGATTGTGAGAAGGATAAACCTCACGAAGGTTAAAATCACAAAGAAAGATTTCATGTGCACCAAAATAGATAGCCACACAACTGAATAAGGAATGCATAAACAGACTGAATGAATGAATGAAAAAGCATTTATTAAGCACATACTATGTGCCAAACACTGTAGTAATTACTGGGGATATAAATACTCAAGTAAAAACAGCCTCTGTCTTCCAGGAGCTTATATTTAAACAAAAGGAGACAATACACATGAGGGAGAAGGAACATGGGCAGGAAGGAATACTTTGGATAGTCACAGGAAAAGTGAGACGGAAAGGGGCATTGTAGGGGAGGAGACTATCACTTCCCATCCAGAAATAATGACAGAGTTGATTGGATCATGGTTCATGGTTCCAGAGGGAGTGTGAGAGAGAGAGAGAGAGAGAGAGAGAGAGAGTGTGTGTGTGTGTGTGTGTGTGTGTGTGTCTCTGTGTGTGTCTCTGTGTGTATTGTGGTATGGGCAGGGTGAGGGAGGAAAGAGTATGTATCTGGAAGACAGCAGGTTGATGGCCAGGCTGTAGAAGAGTCACCAATCAGGACAAAAGGCCTCAAGGACAAAATTCCTCCACTGATATAACAGAGAATAACTACACCATAAGAGACTGGCTAATACAATAAATTCTGAGAAGCAGGAGAAGACATGAATGAATTCCAGGAGTAAACAGACCTAGGAAAACAATATACACAGTGACTACAACAATGTAAAGAAAAAGAGGGAAAAAATTAAATGCTGTGTAATTGTATCAGGCCAAGCTTGGCCCCATAGAAAACCAGAGAAAACACACTTCCTGCCCTTTCTGCAGAAGTAGGGACTACAGTTACAGAGATACTGCAGCTACTGTCATATATGGTGGGTGTGCTGGTTGGATTTGCTGAACTGTCTTTTTTTTTTTTCCTCTTTCTTATTAAAGTTTTACTGCAAGGGATACAACTCTTTGGGCAGGGCTATTTTCAGAAGGGATATATTCAGAAATGACAGTGACATAAAAAAGATATCAATAAAATGTTTTAAACTAAGTACTCTCTCAAAGAAGCTGGAGGAGGAAGTATACCAGGAAAATAAGGTATCTTGGTTTATGATGTAGTGGACAAGAATGACCTGGTTTGAAGGCCTACATTTGATACAAGCTAGTTGTGTGATTATGGGCAATCTGCTTAATGTCTCAGGATGCCAGGCAAGTAAGACTAAAAATAAGTGACAGGTGAGTTGTTGATTTTTTTCAGTGGAGGGGAGTTTCCACCCTGTGGCTGATGAAGCCAGATTGTTGTTGTTCAATCATTTCAATTTTATCTGACTCTTCCTGACCCCATTTGGGGTTTTCTTAGCAGAGACACTGTAGTTATTTCCTACTCCAGCTCATCTGACAGATGAGGGAACTGAGAGGCAAACAAGGTTAAGTGTCCCAGGGTCACACAGCTAGTAAGTATCTGAAGCCAGATTTGAACTCAGGAAGATGAGTCCTCCTGACTCCAGGCCTGGCTCTCTGTCCACTGTGCCACTTAACTGTGCCATTGAAGCTACAGGTCTGGACCAAAAAAAGGTGAGGGGTAGAGGGAAGGAGAGAACGAACACATAACATGGGCCAATAAGAGGTAGTAACCAATCCTTTACCAGTCCTGCATAGCACCACACCAACACCACCATCACTGACAGACATGAACTCTAGGGAAGTCTAGAGCAAGGTTTGAATTAATTAAAGAACAATAAGGCATTTACCTCCATCATACCTTGAGTATCTCAAACTTCAGGAAGAAAAAAATTGAAGAAAAGTGACCTATCATCCTCAAAGCTCTATCCAACGACCAATAGAATTTTCCCATCCTGCCATCTAGATAGAATAGCCTTTCTTCATAATCACTGGTTAATCTCTAGCATTTCATTGGTAATCCTCTCAGACTAATCAAGAAGGAGTAAGGAAATGGAAATGCTATTTCAGGAATTGGGGGGAAAATGTATTTAAAAAGGAACACAATTTCTTTCATCATGTAGTCACAACTGTTGTTGTGTTCCTACCTAGTCTGGGAGCATTTCAGCAGGAGTGTTTTATTTCCCTAAATCCTTCAGATCACAGCGAGATGTGGGGTGGGGGTGGATAATGACAGTGAAGTCTTGACAGTGAAGACAGGTTGTTTGTCTCTGTGCTTAGAAATTCTAAGAAGCCATGAAGAGTGAGACCTGGGCCCTTGTGATGGCTTCTGGCCACACACAGGTCATCATATCTTATTTACTGATTAAAAACATCTGAAAGTTTGGGCTATTAATATAGCATGGTGAGTCCTTTTCTTCATAATTAACTTTTTTTGATTTTTTTTATTAATTTATTTTGATTTATCAACAATCACTTCCATAAGCTTTTGAGTTTAAAATTTTCCTCCCTCTCCCTTCCACCTCTCTCCCCAAATGGCAATAGGCTATACATACACATTCCTATTAAACATATTTTCACATTAGTGATGTTGTAAGCAAGAATTAGAACCAATAGGAGGAACCACCAGAAAGAGGAAACTAAACTCAACAGAAGAAAAAAAAATAGCAAATAGTATGCTTCAATCTGCATTCAAACTCCATAGTTCTTTCTTTGGATGTGGATAGCATTTTCCATCATGAGGCCTTTGGAGATGTCTTAGATCCGTGTATTGCTGAGAAGGGTTAAGTCTATCAATATTAGTCAGAAGAAAAGATTCATAACCCTTAAGAGTTAACTGTAATTACTTTCCATCAATCCCTTCCTTCTTAACCTACCATGAATTAGGTGATGATCTGTGTTTAACATTTTATCTCTACACACAACCATGGACTCTGGTCTGATTTAGTAAACACTCGAAGGTCCAGGTGCATCAATTGACACACAATTTTTTTTTTAAA